GATGATAGAAAGAGAATTGATGCCTTTGAGCTGTGGTGCTGGAGAAGAGTGTTGAATATACCATGGACTGCTAGGAGAACAAACAGGTTTGTCCTGGAGTGGGTGAAGCCAGAATGCTCCTTGGAGTCAAGCATTCTGAAGCTTCATCTGACATAATTTGGGCATGTTGCAAGGAGGGACTGGTCCTTGGAGAGGGACATCATACTTGGGAGAGTGGAGGGTCGGCAAAGGAGAGGAAGACCTTCGATGAGATGGATTGATTCTGTGACTGGAGTGGTGGGCATGAATGTGTTTGAGATGGCTAGGTTGGCACAGGATATAATGGCATTTAGGGCTCTTGTGGGGTCTCATAGGGTTGGTATGAGTCGCAAGGGACTTGATGGCACATTATTAACAAAGTTTTGGGGTTTTTAAAAAATTTATTTTATTTCATTATTTTTTGTGTGTGTGTACCGTCAAATCAGATCTGATTGGTACAGGAGGTGGTTGTCCCTCCTTCTCCAGCAGAGAATCTCGTGGATTCAAACCGTGTGCCTCTGGGATTGCAGTGCAGCTTCTTGCCACTAGGCCACCAGAGCTCCCTTTATTTACACAGTTTTTATACATTGTTTTTCACATCAAATATTTCCCACTTCCTCCACCACTCCTCCACCCATCAAATCGTGTGACCCTATGATTAACACCCCTGCCCATCCTCACCCCTCTGCTTCCATCTTCCCCCATCCCCATCCTCTCCACCCTGGATCCTCATACTTGTCCTACAATAATGGTTTTATACAATATTTGACCTTATTGATGGAGTTCAGTTAGTATAATACTGTCTTCCCTTCAAAGTTAGGTAGTAATTTATAAAATCATTGCTCCAACTTGCTGTGTAGTATTCCATCATGTGAATGTACCATAATTTTTTAATCCTTTTGATTGTGGTTGAACATTTGGGCTTTTTCCATGTTCTTGCTATGGTGATTAATGCTGCTACAAACATTGGTGTACAAGTCTCTGTGCCTCAGTTCTTATTTTCTCAGGGTATATTCCAAGCAGCGGATTAGCTGGGTCATATGGGATTTCTTTGTTCAGCTTTTTGAGTAAGCACCAAACTCCCTTCCAGAGTGGTTGTACCCTTGTACAATCCCACCAACAATGTATAAGAGTTCCTATCTTGCCACATCCTCTCCAACATTTATTACTTGCTGTCTTGTTAAACTTTGCCATTCTTACTGGAGTGAGATGGTATTTCTTTGTGGTTTTGATTTGCACCTTTCTTATTGCCAGTGACTTTGAACTTTTCTTCATTTGTCTGTTGGCCTCATCTTTATATTTTTGAGGAGGGCATAATTGTTCTTCCAGGATAGATAAATATGCATATATGTGTTCGAGGTCCATCAGGGAAGGAGTATCGGCAGATTTCCATGTTCTAACTATCTCTCTGACTGCTAATAGAGGAAGGATTACAGGACGCAGTATGAACTGTAATACAAACTGTCAAGTGAAAAATACACAGTACAAAGTAATATATGCAGAATTACCTCTATGTTTAAAAAACTACTAGAAACAAACAAATACACTATAATTTAGCAGTTAACTTTGAGTGATGAGATTATAGGTAATTTTTTCTTCCAATACAGTAAACATAGTGTTCATAGAGTTTGTAGAGTAAATAAAGTATGACTTAAAAAGATAATAATTTTCATCAGTTTTCTTTAAATATTATTAGAGTAGACTTTGGAAAATCTCCTAAGATCTTAGTTTCCTAGAAACTTAACAATATTTTAAATGGACTTAATTAATATTAAAAATAAAACAAATTCTGGTTGTTTTCAGTCTTACAATTTTAACAGAGATTAAAGCTCATCTAAACATTTTGGGGGATATTTTGTTATAGGAACTCGATCAAAATGCCACTGAAAAGGTCCAGGCCATGTTTACAGCGATTGATGAACTCCTGTATGAGAACAAGTTGAGCGAATATACAAAGAGTCTTCAAGAAGAGTGCCAACAGTGGACATCTAGCTTTCCTCACCTCAGGTACAGAAGCCCCACGTTTGACTTGTTTTCATGGATGAGCAAGTGGATTTCCAAAAATTTGGTCCAGTCATCTCTCAGTGTCTGCCAAGGGCTGGGTCCAGGATCTTTGAGTACTTGAGTTGGCCTGTATAAAATAGCATAGTATTTGCATATGAACTGCTGTCATCCTCCTGTGTATGCTGAATCATTCTTTGGTTACTTAGAATAACTGATAATGTATTCACTCTGTAAGTAACACTTTAGCTCCCTCTTAGCCTCTGCAAGACAGCTCTGACCACTAAATTGCTTTTCCTCGCCAGCTGCCTCTTCTCTCCCCTGATAAGTTAAGATCTGCAGTTAATAGAATTCACAGATGCAGAATCTGTGGAAATAGAGGACCAACTGTATTCTAAAATCTATATGAGATAGTTTTAATAAATGAAATAAATCCATTACAGTGTAAAATATTGAATGGAAACTTAATTTGATAAGACTTTTCTTGAGATGTTCATAACTAAAAATAATTCAAACCATTTCTGTACCCTAAAGCTGAGATCTATGTGTTGTGACTGATCAAAGATTGCTTCTTTTGAACAAAGTAGTCAGAAAATATACTTAAGTAACTGTTATCTGAAGCACTTGCTATGGATCAAGGACTGTAGCCTTCAATATAGTTTGAAGCTCAATATCAAAAAAACTAAGATTCTCACCACTGGGACTATTGGCATCATCATGATAGATGAAGAAGAAGAGATTGAAATTGTTAACAGCTTTAGTGTGCTTGGCTCCACAATCAACACTCTTGGCACCAGCAACCAGGAAATTAAAAGACAAATTGCATTAGGAAAGTCAGCTGTCAGAGACCTCTCCAAAGTATTGAGGAGGAGCGATGTCAGTCTGGAGATTAAGATGCGCCTGATACAGGCCATGGTTTTTGCAATCATTTGCTATGCATGAGAGAGCTGTACAATGACTAGGGGTATTAGGAGAGTTGATGTCATTGAGCTATGTTGTTGGGGAAGAGTTGAATATGCCATGGACTGTGAAGAGAATAAACAGGTTCATCTTAGAGAGGGTGAAACCAGCCTGCTCCTTGGAGACAAGGATTCTGAAGCTTTGTCTAACATACTTTAGGCATGTTACAAGGAGGGACCAGTCCTTGGAGAGGGACATTGTGCTTGAGAGGGTGGAGGGACAGTGCAGGAGAAGACCCTCAATGAGATAGATTGATTCAGTGACTTGAGTATTGAGAGTAGGTGTGTCAGACAATAAAATTGGCTACTTACAGAGCAGGGTTTAGGGCTGTTGTACATAGGGTTGCTATGAGTCACAGGGGACTTGATGGCCTATAACAACAAACAACAACTATTACCTACCAGTACATTCTTATGTACTATTAGGAAGTTTCTCTTTGTAACTATTAGTGCCCCTTACTGTATGTACTTAAAATACATAAAGTTTCAGGTTATTAACAAGGCAACTTGATTTTCAGTAATTGGGCCTGACTTCATTCCATTTTGAGTAGTTTAGTGACAACTGCTATGGAAGATAGGGACAAATTACAACTGTTGACTCAGTTCTCTTGGATTTTCTCTCTTTTTCTAACCTAGGAATGCAGCGTTATTAGTCCATCTGTCCTCAGTAGAATAAGGCTCAGAATTAATATTTTGTCACAAAAATTATTCTTAATCAGTTTCGAACTAAGTATGTACTAGACTTCTCAATAGAACCATGAAACTTATTTCAAAGTTACTTGTGTTTTGTTTGTAGTTGCCAGATGAGGGTGTTCACTGTGTGTCTTTGTTTATTTTGAAGGATTCTAGGTAGGCAGCTGATCACTTCAAGTGATGGTTACAAATTGTATCCAAGGTCAGCTTCTGCCACTTCAACTTCACATGAGACAACCATACCTCAAGAAAGAGATTCTACTATGTAAGTATTTTTTTTAATGTAAATATTCTATTGTGTAAATATTTATATATTCTAGTATTTTAAGCATTATTATATCCTTTTATTAAACAAAGGGATTGTTTCTTCCTATTTATTATGAATTATTATTATAAATATTAGTAATTAGTAACTGAATACTTAGTCTTTAGTGAATTAGGGCACTCTGATCGCCTAGTAGGTAGAGAGTTGTGTTGGCCACCCAGAGGCAGACAGTTTGAACCCATCATTTGCTCCTTGGGAGAAAGATAGCAGTCTCCTCTTACGCATTTTAAACTTCCCAGAACCCAGTGTAAGGTCAACTATGAGTCAGTTCCTACTCGATAGCAATGAGTTTGAATTTTTGTTTGATTTAGTAAATTAATGTTAATAATCATAATTGTTCCCGACTTTTGCGTTCCAGTCACCCATTATTATCAGTGCATCTTGATTGCATGTTCGATCAATCTCCGATTGTAAAAGTTGATAAAAATCTTCTATCTCCTCTTCCTTTGCTCTGGTTGTTGGTGCATATATTTGAATGATAGTGGTATTCACTGGACTTCCTTGTATGCGTATA